TGGCTACAATAGGTGGTGGTGACAGAAGGTGGCTAGGAGTGGGCAGAATGCTGACAGTAGAAAATCTGAGACCACAAATACAATGTGTTATTTCATAGCTAATAAAACAAAAACAAAATTCCCCTGCAAGCTCTCATATTACTTGATTTAATAATGTAAATTCACGCCAGGCGCAGTGGCTCACGCCTAAAATCCCAGCACTTTGGGAGGCCAAGGCAGGTGGATCACAAGGTCAGGAGATCGAGACCAACCTGATCAACATGGTGAAACCCCATCTCTACTAAAAATACAAAACTTAGCTGGGCACGGTGGTGCCTGCCTGTAATCCCAGCTACCCAGGAGGCTGAGGCAGGAGAATCACTTGAACCATGGACTCAGAGGTTGTAGCGAGCCAAGATTGCGCCACTGCACTCCAGCCTGGTGACAGAGTGAGGCTGCGTCTCAACAAAAAAGAAAAGAAAATTTTAAAAATAATGTAAATTCAGTTTCTTCAAATTTCATACTGAAAACCTAAATTATGCATATTCTAGAAAAGTGTTTTTCTCCTGTCTCCTAATAAGAGTTGTATAGAAAAGTATGCAAGCTACCATCTTCAGGTTTGAAGACCATGCCTTCATGTTTGCAAGGCACAAAGTTTGTCACATTTAAAATTCTGAACTTGCTGTATCTTAAAATCAATAGGTACAATTAATAGGAGATATTTGGTTATGCTGTTTCACTTCCTCAACTTTAACAAAAAGCTGTTACAAAACTGAATTTAGGGCTGACAATTTCTGGTAACTTTTAATTATGAAAAAGTAGAATTAATGTATTTTTTAAAAGAAAACAAAGCAATCTTACTGCATGCATTTTCTTGGTAGCAATAGAAACTGATTTATCATGGGATAGTAGAAGTCTCTTGCTGAGAGCCAGGCTGGATATGTAATTTGCATAGAAGAGGGAGCAGATTGTCAATGCCCTGACCTGTCAAACACAGGTAGGGCCTCGGAGATAATGGGTCCCAGAATACAAAGCTCCATCTTGATCCAGACAGATACACACAACATGGAGAGGCCAGATGGATTAAATGAGAGACAAAAATGCCGGCTTCTGCCATCTCCACAGGAAGAACGTAAGTGCTGCAGAAGTTGACAGATACCAGATACCACATGGATCCCACCCCAGTCTCTTGGCCCCATTGCTGTGCCTGTGCCATGATTTCCACACTGCTGAGAAGAGGCCAGGCTGTTCAGTGCCATGTATATAGTCACTGGGGAGGGGCTCAACCCAACTGACAAGCAATCAACCATGCCTACACCTAAGTGTCTTACTTGTAAAGAGGGAAAGTGCCACATGATGGTAGAAACCAGAGACTGCAGCCCTATGCAGGGAAGTCTCTGTTCCTACTAACCTCCATACCTAGCTTTTCCACAGTGGCTCAGTCTCTAGCCACACGTTTCCAGGGTGCACTGCATCCTCAGGAAACATCCCATGTGACAGAAAGACCATCTGCCTAGACAATGGTCCTCTTTTCGGATCCAGGTCCAAGGGGGATGTGATTTTTTAATTTCTACAGGTAGCTGTAACCAAGTTGGACCATGGGACAAGAAAGAACCCACTTCTCCTGACGTCCACTGAGCACAGACAATGGAGGATGTTGGACATGCAGCCAGAGGACACATAGCTAAGGGACAAGCCCAGAAAGACAAAAATGCAGCAGCACAGCCACAGAGACAGCAAGTCCAGAGACCCTGCCATGCAATTTCTTTTTCCCTGAAAATGGTGTGGTTAGGAAACTGAAGGAGGGCTGAGCCGGCCTTCTTTCCACAGCTGGAGGCAGAAAGTGCCATCACATCTCTAGTTTTATGTAAGCTGATAGTCTAATGATTACCAGCAGTAACACCACATTTGATAAGACTTTTTTTTTTTTTTTCTAAGAAAAAGAGTTTGCTGAGATATTGAAGAGCTAGTGCATACAAGGTCCAATGTGAGATACCTCACTTACCTACTCATCCATTTGGCAGACATTGATTGAATTCTATGATTTGCCAAGCCCTGTGTTTGGTAATGCAGGATGAAAACGGATGGGGTGTTTTCCACATGGGCCTCACAGAAGGTGAGAGGGTTAGCCTGCCAGATGCAGGAAGGTGAGGAGGTACATAGAATCACGGAATGTTAAACTAGGAGGGACTTCGGAATCCATCAAAACATCTAAGCCAGAATATTTACAACTTTTTCCTAAATACTCAAAACCACCTTTTTAAAAACAAAAATTTATGAAGGATCCCGATGTACAAAAGCGATGAAAACAACTGTGGAGGTGGTGGTGGGTGTTGACGCTGGTGGCCTTTCCCACTCCCCAATCCCACTGAGGTACTGCTCCTGACCAGAGGTTACGACAAACCATCTGAAAGTCAGTAATCTAGTCCAAATCTTCAGTTTTAAAAATGAAGGAATTAAAGCTCAAGCAGTTGAAGTTTTGACCAAAATCTCAAATTACTTAAAAGAATGTAGATGGCTGGGCACGGTGGCTCATGCCTGTAATCCCAGCACTTTGGGAGGCTGAGGCAGGTGAATTATGAGGTCAAGAGATCGAGACCATCCTGGCCAACATGATAAAACCCCGTCTCTACTAAAAATACAAAAATTAGTCGGGTGTGGTAGTATGTGCCTATAGTCCCAGCTACTTGGGAGGCTGAGGAAGAATTGCTTGAACCCGGGAGGCAGAGGTTGCAGTGAGCTGAGACTGCATCACTGAACTCCAGTCTGATGACAGAGTGAGACTCCATCTCAGAAAAAGAAAAAAAAAAGCATGCAGGTGAGGGTGCAAGTAACCTGAATTCCACTTCTTTGCTCATTCCACCCTATGAACACAATTTCGACAACCCAAATTGGAAAAGTTTGGAATTTACAATAGCTGCCTTTCGTCTGCCATATGCAAAATGCTGAAAACTGGTCTGCAAAACATTTAAAAAACAGGACTTTTGAAAAATATGACATTTTGCGGTTGGAGGTGCAGCATGTTTTTGGGGCACCTGCCACACGTGTATTTCCCAGGTCTTGTCCAGAACTTTATCTTTGGTTTGCAAACTGTAATTTGTCCATCCATTTGTTTCACCTCACTCCTTTTCTCTGAAGGACAGGTAAATGAATGAACTTTAATAAACTGTCATTTCTCTCTTTTTTTTTTAAAAAAAAAAAAGGTAGGTTTATATAGGGACAAAATCAGATGTCCACATTAGCGGGACACTCTGGAGGCTGTCCCTACAGAATTAAAAATACACCTTACATACATATGTATTCTATCTCCTGTTACACTGGAAATGAGTGACCTATTATAAGTGCAAACTGCATTTTTTAGGGGAAATCAAATAACATTTTAACCAGAACAAGAAAAAAGTTCAAAAGCATCATAAATTGTAGATACTCAAAAATTATATAAAGGGGACAAAGCATAGTAATTTTTGATTAAATATACACCCAGGACATACAGAAGCAAGCTCTACAATTGTCAAGTAATATTGATTAGGATGGTAAGGAAGCATTATTACAAAGGGAGAAAGCTCAACAGCGTCGAAAGCTCATAGGACTCAGGCTCTTGGAGACCAGATTTGGCAGCAAAAATAGGAAATATGCTCTTCATTCAGCAAGAATAGGCTGCATATATTTGTAATCACTGGCTGAAAAAGTTGCCTGGATTTAGTGAAAAAACTACCTGGATTTAGATGGAGACTCAGGGGGAGGTGGAGAGAAGTGTAACGATCCTCTAAGTTATGCTTTGCATATTACATTATGTCAGAAATATTCATCTTCCCAAATGCATTATATGTATAAGCAAAATACAAAAGCTTTTCCTTATTCTCAAAATGTGACCTTTGTTATTTAAAACTCTTCTTCCCTATAAAAATCTTCCTTAGGTATATGTGATAGAAATGGCCCACTCAAATGTTGAATTGTAAGTAATTTACAATCCACACAAATGATCTCTGGTCTCTGCTTTAGCTTTATTCTGTGGTCCCTGCAACTATTCTTACAATAGTTTGATGGTTGAGTCACATCTGAGGTTAAAACACTAAAAGATAAATTAGTAGTTACAAACAGTACAAGACAATCAACAATTTTCACTATTAGGTCTCCTAAACCCTTTGCTTCTTAGTAAATATATCAGTAGAGTTTTTCCATTATTTTTTAAAAGAATGGTTACTTTAATAAATGTTTAACTCTCTGAAAGGATACATTTGTACATATCTATAAATTTATTTTTTCTCCAATAAACCATGGAAAACATTTGTAGTAACCTTTGACTTGTAATAATCTTGGCTTTAAATATTTTGCAATTTTAAAATATACCCACACAAATATAGCTTGCTATTTTAGTTACAGGAAAGCAAGAATAATTCCTGAAAACAAAACAAAAATGTGTTCTTAAGATCACAGATTATTACAGATATTCAATGGAGACACCCTAGCAGAGATACTACAAAGTAGTGGTTTTCAAACATTTTGATCTCAAGATAACTTTATACCCCTGAAAATTATTAAGTACTCCAAATTACATTTTTGTATGTAGATTACATCTAGCAACATTTACTGATTTAGAACTAGGAAAGTCTTTAAATATTACTTTTTAAAAGCAATTTCGTGTTACAGAAATTATATTTTTACCAAAAAAATTATATATTCCAAAAGAAGTGAGAACATTGGCACTGTTAAATATTTTAGAAATTTTTAATTTAATATTGGCCTAAAAGACGGATTCTCTTATCTGCTTCTGCATTCAATCTAATGCAGAATCACATGACATGTGGTCTCCAGAAAACCCCACTGTATACTTATGAGGGAATGTAAGTAAAGGGCAAATAATATCATCTTCTTATTATGAAATAAGATTATTGGACCTAGGAGACCTCAGAAATTCCCCTGAAGAGTCTTAGGAAACCCCCAGATCTCCTAGGAGCCCGCGGTAAGAAATGCTGCTCTATAGAGACATTTTGTTACTCTTTCAGCCATTATAAACTTACAGGTCTCCATGCCTTCGTCCTCATCATCTACCGCAGGCTTATCATAAGATTTGTCGATGGCAGCTCTGAAGCTCTCATTGCATCCCCTGCCTCTGATTATCCTCGGCCGTGGGCGATGGAAAGGAATATCCCCATTCAGAGTCACCTCGGCAACTGCAGTCTGCAGACTCTCTAATGAGCTTGACTTCTTCAGACCCAGGGAAGGACCCACATCTCTGCTGGGAGAACCTGGGAGGTTTATAAAAACAAAATGTTAGTGTGAATTAGTGTAAAGTATGTATCTGAATACGCACTGTGGAAAACTTCAGGGACATAATAATTACTGCGCAATAATGAGTTCTGGAATGTAGATGGAAAAGACAAAGAATAATTGAAGTAATAGTTGCTAATTTTAATTTTTTCCAAATTTATATTAGACTTGGTCTATTTTCTCTCTTTGCATTAGAAAAAAAACTCTAAGTCATTACTTTAAAAAAAAATTCAACAGATCAAATGTTGTCAAATCATTTTGCTCCAGTAATAGAAATAATCTAAAGAACCAGAATAACCTGGAAGCTCATTTGAAAAGCAAGCGACAATGAGGAGAAGGCTAAGGTAAGCAACCAAGAATAGGCTTTGCACCTAAATGAAAACCTTTGTTTTTTTTGGCAATTTAAAATTATTTATAACAGAAGTTAGACATGCACATCAATGTGCTTCATCAAGTCTCTTCCTGGCTAAACTGCAGACTCACAACACTCCATAAGGAGTAAGAGCATGGGGGCCTACATGTCACCAAAACAATTAGGACAACCTGGCAGCAGGCAAAAAACAATCCTGGGAAATATGGATATTCTACAGAAAGAGTAACATAAGCTTTGAATATAAACAGATTATGCAAGGGCTCTTTCTCAGAGGGAAGTGAAAAAGGAGAGACTGGATATGAATACTTCTATCTCTAGGCCTGGGAATAATATGTTTGGAAAACAGGTGATGGACAGAACAAAGACAGCTTAGCAATTAACAAGGACATTTCATGAGGATGACAGGAACAAGCTTCAGGAATTAAAAATTTGGCTCTATTTCCTGAGGATCTATAGCAGAAGGGCCAGAGATAATACCAATAGTAGTACTAAGCTGTGGAAGGCAATCAAAACTGATTTCTTTAACCAGGTAAGACAGCCTTATCCATCATTGCCTGACCTGACACTCAAAGGTAGACTAATTTAGCTTCTGATGACTGAAATACCAGCTGTGCACCACCACCTGGGCAATCCAGGTTATAGAACTGGTTCTTCATGTATACTGTTAAAAAGACAGGTGAAAAAAAATGGGAGGGTAGGAGAAACAAAATAGTTTATCTCTGCATGGGGTCATCAGCCCATATGTTGATCATGTTAATACCCAGAAAACAAATAGCTGTGACATAGGCTTTCCACAGCTCAGAATATAAAATAGAATTACATTCAAAGAGTCAAAACAAAAAATTAACTTTTTAAGATTCACAGATCTTAAATGAAGCTGTTTTATAAGACACGTTTAAAATGTAGCACAAACAGAAAGGCAAACACATGACCATAATGAAGAAATGATATTCCACAAATTATTGTGCTGAAAAGGAAAAGATGTCATATTTAGCTTTCTCAACGCAGGATTATCTATATTTTTTTATTTATTTTATGACAAAAGTTCACGTGACATATTTCTTTCAAAGAGATCAATCTTACTTTTTCTCTGGGTAGCACTACAATTTTTGACAAGTACATTTTCTAAATTACTCATAAAAGTCATGTCATGGGAAGGAAAATGAACTTTGTTCCAAAAACCTACATAATAAGAAATCAAGGAATCAAAAAGAATGGGAAAAGACCATTCCTAGGTAGGAATATTTACCTTTACAGTTTCTACAATTTGCATAGAAAGATCTTTCTGTGAATAAATTATGCCTATCAATTTTCACCATTTACCAGCTATATTTGGGTTCTATAAATACATATTAGGCGAATATTTGGTGCTTTCTTGGGTTTATCAAAGATATGTGTATGTGTGCATGTATTTGTATGTGAGTATGTATCATGAATAAAGATTTCATGTTTGCAGAAAGAATCCTCATAAAAACACCATTTATTTATATTAAACTTTTCTTTATGTAAAGTTAGCTGAGATTTTACTTAGTATTCTCAGAACAATAAAAACTTGAATAATGAATTTTAGAAATGGCATGAGAATAATGAATTTCAGCAATGGCATCAGAAATGGCATTTATTAAAACTCAGTGTCCCTCAGCATAAACACAAGCAAACTTGGAAAGAAAAACAATGGTGAAAGTATAATTCAATAGATAATAATTGTGTAAGTGCACTTCAGAGCTCACCTATCTAGTCGTTTCCCTAAATTCATAACACTGTTAAATAACCTTTTGGCAAAATGTTAATCATTGTGGATGGTGGGCCCTGGGTTTGTGGAAGGTCAGTGAATATTTATGTATAGATGAAAACTTTTATAATAAAACATTATACAAAATGTCAATTATCTACAGCTTCTGAATCTGCAACACAGATCAGCAAACCATGAGTCAAATGTGGAAAACTTTACTGGAACACAGCCATGCCCATGTATTTACATATTGTCTATGGCTGCTTTCATTCAACAATGGTAGAATGTAAAAGTTGCAACAGAGACCTAAAATATTTACCATCTGTTCCTTTGCAGAAAGAGCTTGCTAACTTTTGATTTATAACATGAGTAACATACATTTTAGTACTATATTTGACAAAGAAACTGTAACAAAGGTTTTGAGCGATATGTTAGGATTTTCCAATGAAGTTATTAAAATCCCTAACACACTGATTCAGTCAAGTGCCTTAAAAAAAAACCTAAAAGGGCCGGGCGCGGTGGCTCAAGCCTGTAATCCCAGCACTTTGGGAGGCCGAGGCGGGTGGATCACGAGGTCAAGAGATCGAGACCATCCTGGTCAACATGGTGAAACCCCGTCTCTACTAAAAATATAAAAACATTAGCTGGGCATAGTGGCACGTGTCTGTAATCCCAGCCACTGAGGAGGTTGAGGCAGGAGAATTGCCTGAACCCAGGAGGCGGAGGTTGCGGTGGGCCAAGATCGCGCCATTGCACTCCAGCCTGGGTAACAAGAGTGAAACTCCGTCTCAAAAAAAAAAAAAAAAAAAAAAAACCAAACCTAAAAGGATTTGCTAACAATACAAGCTTAGCATTTTACTATTAATGAAAATTGAAAAAGAATTCTGTATATAAAGTATACAAAAAAGACTTTTTATTTACACCATAAAAATCAGTATCTTTTATCTTAATTTTAAAACAATATTTTAAGCTCTTACTTTACGTAAATCTTTTAGGTCATTAGCATACTTTGCTAATTTTTTATATTTCAAGAATGGGACTATTAGAAATGCAATTCTCTCCTTACACCTGTTCTGCCTTGTTATAATTTGGGGAGAAATTATGTAGAAGATTCCTAAATCTGGAAAAAAAAAAAAAAAAGAGGGAAATTAAAATCATACCATTTTCCCTAGATCTATATTTCACTCCTACTTAGTAATATCCCTCTTGCCCCCTCCAAAAAAAAGGGAAAGGGAAGGATGTCTTTTGCAAGGGACAGAGGGAAATGTAATTCAATTTTCATTATGAAAGGCTAGTGGCTAGGCTAGACAGATGCTCTATGCTAAAACGCCACTATGATTCTCCCCAAAACCTTTGGACTAATCATAATCTTTCTTGAAAACTCAAGTCAAGTGAAGTGAAGAAAGAAAAATAAGTGAAAATCTGTTCATTATCTAATATTAGGGGACAGAGAGATAATTAAATATCTACCTTAGGTATTTTATTCATTTAGATGTAAAGCCAACAGACCAAGTATTTTTACACCTTGGTAAAAATTTTTTGCCCCAAGATTTTCTAATTTAAAATGGTAGGATAGACTGCACATAGTGCAAAAAAAAAAAAAAAGGTTCTTTTTTCTCTAGAATCTAACACTTTAAAACACAAAAACATAGTTTGAGTTTTGATTAGACTATAAAATGTGCCTTGAAACTCATGTAATGACTTTCCATGAAAGTTATCAAATGCACTGAGTTATAACTTGGGTATCATTATGTTGTAGATCACAACAAACTGTCCTTTACCTTATAGCAGCTGTGAGTTGGTTAAATTAAGTATTTTTCTCAGTTTACCTAACTAACATTGTATATAAAGTTAGGTCCTTAAACCTGAGCAGCTCGATTTGGTTTCTGTGAATATTTACTTGGATTGGGGTCCCTGCTTGAAAAGTACGAAGTACTGCTAACTCTAAACACTAATTACTATTTTACAAATGCGAACTATCCTGTAACATTTTTCTTTAGCTGTGATTCAATAAACTTTAGGTTTCATAAGAACAACAATGACTCAGTAAGGGCTGAGGCTACAGTTAATTGCCTTGCAATACAGTTAATCTTATGATTTATTAGATGTATTTTTTATCATCTATCTTTTACTCCAGAGACTATAACTCCAACCATGTACAAAATAATCTTTTCATATATATGTGGGATACACATTTTTTAAGTAGGCTAAAACTAATTCACTACTGCAGGTTAAAAAGGTAAATTGAAGCTTATTAGTGTTAAGAAGTGTAACTACATCACACTGTACATAGAATAATTAAAAAGCTATTCCCAACTTATAATAAGTCATAAATGGTCAATTGCACAAAGCACATTAACAACACTTAAAGACTTTCCTCTGATTACTGTCATATAACAATGACATAAAAAGCGAAACAAATGACCGTAATGCAAACCCAGTCCAATATAATCCATTGTTTCTATGGAATGATTTAGCAGTATTTTAGAAGTAATGAATTTAAAACAAGCTCAGGAATTAAGATACGAAGCCATATGCATTATATAGTCTAATCCAATGTCAGATTAACTACAAGCTAATTTCAGCATCAAAAAAAAAAAAAAGGATTTCTGAGTGATTAATGATAGCAATACTGGACATTGCCCTATAATGAAAAATATTTATACTGGCACTACTATCTTTCAAACCAAAATTGGCACTCTGAGAATCACTTTTTGGATGTTAACCTAGACATCGCATAGATGACTTAAAAACCTAGGAGTCTACTATAATAGATCATATTTTCAGGATTTTGATTTTTTTTAATTGGGATAAAACATCCTTACATGAATATAATTAAGAATATCTAGGTTGTTTCTAGCCTTTTTGAAGCAGTAAATTATATTCCTATTTAGTAAGTACACCACTGATAAATTTTTAGTAACAGAAAATACTTCTTTTCTTATGTAATTTGATTTCCCGCAAAGAAAACATTTGCGTAAGCCGGGAATATGTATGTTTTCATGGCATGTGATTGGCAGCTCGGTAATTGTGATAAGCTCTGTGGGCCACGGTTTCTATGGCAACAGTCTAACTGTCCGTTCTTACCTGCTTTCTGGTCATCCACTGTATTGAGTTTAGTCTCGTCAGCTACTGTTAAAAGGTAAATGTATAATGGTTAGCCCAGTTAGTTCCCATAGCCCATCATGCTTCCACCATTCCCAGACCTTTTCAGTTAGGTGACGATCCTCAGCTAACATTTCATGCAAATACTATAAAACATCAAGCAAACATTCATAATCAAAAAAGGAGGAAAAAAAGCAGTGTCTCCATGCAATATGCCAGTCATTTCATTTAACAGACATGTGTGTTATATGTTAGCATATCATAATTAGCCAAGGCAATGCATCACCAAATTTTTCTTTACGCATATGATAAGTTAATGCTTTTAGTCTTGGAGTACAAACAGCCACCAGAGAATAGCATAAGTTACAGTTGATTAACAAAGGTTTTAAATCATTCAGTGTCTAGATATAATTAATTATTTTACTTTTTTTTTGGTGGATTTGGATTTAAAGAGACACTACCTGATTGGTGTTTGAACAAATATGATTATTTTCCTCCTCTCATTTGCTCTTAAATACTTTCTATAATAAATACTCTCAAATAATTACTTTGATTAAATGCCTTCATTATCCAAACATGAGAGTTTCTAATAAATAAACCTTAAAGGACAGCAATGAAAGGAAGACATCATGAAGTAACCAAATTCCAGACATGGATTGAGATAATGATTTCTCTCCAAAATTTTCTCTTCCAGTTCAAAAAATCCCACAACCAACCAAATACAATTTCAATGGAACTGGTTTTGAATAGCCAAAGTGTTAAAACATTTCATTTTGTGAAATAAAGATACATGGACATAGTATGATATGCATATGTGTTTGTTTCCTTTCTCATAAGAAAACATGTATATTAACATATTGCATATGATGTAAACATGCCACTTATGAGTAATATTGTTATCTCAAACTCGGAGAAAAACTAATTTTTGCCAAATTGCCACACTTCATATTTATTTTCTCTATTGCTCAAAGTAAACAGACATCTGTTTGGGACCATCAATTTTATCCTGAAAGCATTTAAACCTTATTTAGATAAAGATTCATGGAGATTGTACTCACTACCTAAATCCATGCTTTTTGATTTTCGTGTTTTAACGAAATCCAATTGACTGGCATCTGAAAATTGCTTTGTGCGCTTTTCTGACATACTCTGACGTCCAAATCCTTCTCGTTGAAAAGCAAGAACTGGATCAACATCTGGACTCAAAGAGCTGGTGTGAAGAAAAATACAAACATAAAAATATTTACTAATAGCAGACATCCGTTTTAGGAAGGTTCATACATACCTGTGTGTGAGAATATACATATATGTATTCCTCAAGAAAAAGTGAACTAAATAACACACATACAGTTCATTAAAAAAAAAAAAAAAACTGGCTGTATAGGTGGTGACGGAAAAATACAAACTTCATTTAATACTTAGAGTAACTCTTTCTCCATGTGAATTTTCTCCTTCTCTACTTTCCTCTCTGCTTCTTCACTCTATTTGACAACACAGAATAATTTCAAGGTGATTATAAAAAATGAGCCTAATATTGGAAGGATTGAATTTTTCAGGAAACCTGTCACATATTATATACAAATACTGGCAGCGAACAAGTGACCATATAAATTGTAATTAAACAGAAGTTTCAAAAAGAGTATATTCTAGCCTTCTTATATATCTTTTATGTTGTGTTTTAAGGAAAGAAAAAATATATGTCATTATGGCATGTCATTTCATTAGGCTGCAGTTTCTCTGAAATATTAAATCAACAAAGAAATCAATCCAACAAACACTTATTAGAACCTATTCTGATTAAGGCATTGTGCCAGATACGTAGGTCCAAATAACAGATAAGAAAGATCCCTATGCTCTGTGAGCTCATAAGAAAAATGCTAAACCAGGAGTATGAAACAGATGCTGGGGGTGCACAAATGAGTGAATAAACAGTATATGAGAGTCAGGAAGAGCATGACTAAGTTTAGATGACATTCGATTTGGATGACATCAACACAGTGGCCCAAGTGGGGATGATAAGGAAGCATATGGCAAATCGCTGGTAACAGGATGCCTTCTGAAGTGTTCCTCCAATGCAAGTGGTTGAAGATGTCCCAGAATCACGCCTGTTTGTAAAAATCTGTGAATGCGTTCTAAAGGGCTATCAGGTGTTCTATCCACAGTTCATAGTATGAAAAGGGTTTTCTCTGTGCTGGGCACTTTGGGTAGATGAGTATACCAGCCCTACAGTATCAGGTCCAGCCACCTTATCTATCTGGCCAGGTGGGAGAACATCCCTCTCTACAGCTAACTGAGCACACTGAGAATGCCCCGGGCTCCTTCCACTGTCAGCTGAATTTATGATAGTCTTCCTCATGTTTCTGTTGGAAGCAAGCTTTTCTAACCCTTAACAGCCTAATGAGAATTAACATCCATACTAGTAAAAAGATAGTCAACCTTTGGATTCACATCAGAAATTCAGTTGCCATTTACTGTGCATGAAATAAGAGTTGGCTCTTAAAGAAGAACTAAGCTAAATGTTTGGAAAAGTAAGAGGGCAGGCAAAGTCCTGCCATTGGGTAGCGTGACTTGAGATGTTTTGAGCTATGTATTAATGTGCTCAATAAAGAGAACAGTTGTCTCATCCACTTAAAAAGCTAATGAGAGAATTCAGCAACCTAAGGTGAAAGCTCCATGTAAATTGCTAACTACTAAACAAGTAAGTCATCACCCAATGAAGACTATATCAAATGATCAAAGTAATACACATTATGGTGACAGACATCTAGCCTCATATGCCCCTTCACATACTGCTATGCTTTGGTATACATGGCTTATAATTATCAGAGCACATACACCCCAGTGAAAAAACACACTTCTAGAAGTAAAAAATTAAAGCCCATATGATGAGTAATATGACACAATTTTACAGCAGCAAACTCTAAATATTTCCAATAATTCTTTTATATAGACAGTGGATCTCTCCAGTCACCTTGTACATGCTAATCAATTCTTTTTACATCTTGTAGAATAATTTAAACCTCAACTCCAACACTGCACCAAACTTGTGAACAGAATGAATTTGAAATACAGTGTTAGCAGAAATTATTGATAAAAGATTTTTCAAAGAAATACAAATCGCCACTGCCAATCTCGCCTGAAAAACACATATTGGTGCATCTTTAATTTTACATCCTCTAAAATTATGCTGCCAGTAAGATTAGAATTTGTTGCTTCATTTCCCCCATAAACACATTATTAATGTTCCCTCAATTAATAGACTGAAAATCGTATGTTCTGTAAGCAAACAAGTAAGTTTAGTCATTTGACATAGCCTTCGACAACTGTGCAATGAACACAATTTAAAATGTCAAATGAGTCTGTGCATTAGTAAGAGTCTTAAAATAACTAAATATTCTTAAATCATGACAAAATTAATTCTTCCCTATCAATATAACTATTAAACTAATTTCAGACACAATAAACAGTACACTAGAATATTTAACAAGTTAGATTGCAGGAATGACAGCTGATTCTTTAAAAAATGTAACCATACCCTGACCCCTGATGTTATTAAAATTCCAGTTATTAACCCTGTCTTATTGGCCTTTTGTTTTCATAGCATTTCCATCAAGGATTAGGGAAGATATTGTCAGGCTGGAAGAGCTTACAGTTTCTGCTGTGATTCAGAACAGCTGCCATTCTTGTTTGGATAACCCTTCATTCATATTATTTTCTTTGCTCCACATTCCACACAGCAAAATTATACAAGTCCTCACTATTTTGCAAATCCCCCTGAGGGAAATTAAAGCCACAATCTATCCCTGCTACTTATTTATCTATTTTCACTAATACAGTGCTTTATGAGGCCCCAAACAGATCTATAACTATGACCACCTCCACAATTTCTCATCATGGTAGAGATTCAAAGGCTTTTGTCCCTAAGATGAATACTGCATCTATGTAATTCTTGCTTTCTCTGTTGCTACTTTCATTTTCAGAAAGAGATATGAGACACAGCAGTCAATGTCACACCATCTGCAGATTTCAAATGGGTTTTTACTTCACATTGTAGTCTTCCTTTCTATGTTTAACCAAAAAATTCATTCAAAGATGGGCCATTGTCATGCAGGTTTGAGTGTAGTTCTATTTTTAAGTCCTGTGCTTTCAAAAAGAGAATTAAAACAGAAAGAAATGAGAAGCCAGAGATGAATCTTCCCAAATCAGAGGTGAGATTTACTCCAAGAGAACACCTTCAGAATTAACAGATAAATCAACTGTATTTTGTGTGTTCATGTAACGAGCCAGGGAAGACTGGGGGAGCGGTTCACTTTGTTAAGATCATCACTAAAAATGTTAACACAAACAAATGCCAGTCCCCCCGACGCCTCCTATCTAATATTTAATGTTGACACAAGCCAGAAAAACAGTAGGAAGCAGGAATGGCTAAGTGGTGAAGGAACACCATAACATTTAAATATGATTTTGCTGATATATTCATAAAGGCCCCAGAGAAAGGGCAATGAGAAAATTCTGGTACAATACTTCACAAGGTTTGTGTTAATTATCACTATAACCTTGTGAGGTCGTCCCCAAGAGGGGCTTTGCTTTTGCTTATTGACGTATACAATTACTAGGCATAAAGATTAAGGCACACATCCACATTCATGAGCCATACATTGGCTCAGTAATATCAAATGCTTTCTTCTATTTCCAAAGACACAGGAGAAAAAATAGCAGGGAGTGCCCTAAAAGTCACTATGTTAAAAGCAATTACAAAGCATTTGAAACAGTATAGTTACAGTACTCTAAAAAAGACTTTAAAAAAAGGCTTCTCCCAGTCTTAGAACACATCAACTATTAGTTTTGTCAAAGTTACCTAGCTGTTGCAATCAGTTTAGGGAGTTGCCAATAATTTATTTATTTAATTGCAAAACAATGTATCAAATTAACACAGAATAAATCATAAACAAAGTAACTTAGAAACAAATGGGCACGGTTTTTTGGTTGGTGATAATTTTGTCGTTGTTTTGGTTACATTACTAACTATAGCTCTTGAAGGCTAAAGCAATTAAGTTTACAGGGTTGGGGTATAATCTTTTATTAAAAGAGTGATGATTAAGTGTATAAAAACCATGAAAACAGAGCATGGCTATTAAAAAAAAAAGATTAATTGTATTTAGTGGTAAGCCACTTAAACATAAAACAGGACTGTAATTAATTCATGTTTTCCAACCCTAGGTGAGCTTACCAGTCGGCTGAATCACTGATTGCAGCCTTGGCCCAGGTACCAGCATCTGTCGTCACGAACCCCACATCGTCATGGGAGCTGGAAGATGACTGGTCAGAGAGATGTGGAGGAAGCACTGGCAACCTGTCATCTTCTATAATGACAGTGTCATCTTGGGGCATATTCACTGTAGGGGACAGCTGGTATTTACCTGTCCAGTGAAAAAAGAAGACAAATTCTAGACATCAATCAAAGTGTTACATCTATTAATTTTAATATTTTGCTACTTTAGTAAAAGTCTAACCTTCCACATATCTGCTCAACCTGGTAGAACAAAACAGAATTTAGCACATTAATTTTTCATAAAAGACTGTCAAATAGAGGCCTTGAGTCTATTACTACCTCTGATGCTCCAACTATGTAGCTCAGGGCACTGCATGCAATTTTTCTGGTTTTAAGTTTCCTAAAGTCAAAGACACTCTTTCAAATGTCTTCTAATGTGAAAATGCTACATGCATTCTAAAATGAATGTCCTTTGAAAAACTGTACCAGGAGCCAGGCACAGTGGCTCATGCCTATAATCCTAGCACTTTGGGAGGCCAAGGTGGGCAGAACACCTGAGGTTGGGAATTCGAGACCAGCCTGACCAACATGGATAAATTTCATCTCTACTAAAAATACAAAATTAGCTGGGCATGGTGGCACACGCCTGTAATCTCAGCTACTTGGGAGGCTGAGGCAGGAGAATCGCTTGAACCTGGAAGTCAGAGGTTGTGGTGAGCAGAGATTGTGCCACTGCACTCCAGCCTGGGCAACAAGGGTGAAACTC